CCCTCATGGAAACCGCCGTCAGGCATTACTTCGTGAGGGGAGGATCTAGCTACTGCTCTTTCTTCTGGTGGCTAAGGTGTTATTCTTTCCTCCTTCTAATTGGCGTCATTTGCTCTTCTTCTTTCTATAGACCGCAGGTCTAAGAGGACTCCCGTGACAAACGTGTTTGTGGCGTTCCAGGCAGCCTCTGATGACAGCATTGCTTCTACTATTGTCTCTGGTTGGATTTTCCTCTTCAGGATATTCTCCAGCTCATCTCTCTGTGGGTAAAAACGTAAGCACTCAAAGAAAACCTGCTCTGCATCTTCATTGACTCCTGGGCAGGACGGGCACTCTGGGGAATTATCATGCTTGACGCGGTGGAGATACGCCCGGAAACAGCCGTGTCCTGATAACATCTGTGTAAGATAATAGTTGACCTCACCGTGACTCCGGTTTAGCCAAACGTTGATCCTTGATATGCGACGATGCGTCCACCTACCCTTCACTGTGGCATCCCACTGTAGTTGCGATCGACTTATGCTCTTCTGCCATTCTTCTGTTCTAAGCTCCTCAGCGCTTAGTGTGGTTGACTTCTTTCTTTGGTAAAGGATCCGTCTTTCCTCAGCTAAGACTCTGAGAGGCAAAGTTCCGGAAATGACACACACTGCTTCCATAGATATTGTGCGGAAAGCGCTTGCTACTCTTAAGGCACTCAGACGGTAGACTGGTCCAGCCTTTCTCCATGATTCTTGCTTCTCTAGTGCGTCCGCCCAGATAGATATTCCGTAAGTGAGCACTGATGTGACTACAGATGATAGCAGTAGTCTTCTGCTCTGCTTTGGGCCTCCGACGTTTGGCATCAGTCGTGCTAAGCTAGCTACCACTGCTGATGCTTTTGCACTCACGTGTTCGACTTGCTGCTTAAAGTTGAGTCGGGCATCAAGCATCACTCCCAGATATCGGATATATGGTTGTGATGTGATTTCTTGTTCTCCGACTTTCAGCTTTATGGTCTCTATCACTTTTCTGCTTGTAATAAGCACAGCCTCAGTCTTCTGTTTAGCCAGTTGTAGATTCATTGAATCCATCCACCGGTTAACTTTCTCAAAGGTGATAACGAACATGTGGTTTATCTCATCTAGGTGTTTAGCAACGATTACGATAGCTACATCATCTGTATATGCAACAAGCTTGACACTTGGAAGAGTCAGTCTCAGCAGTCCATCATGCATGACATTCCACAGAAGTGGACTCAGAACAGAACCCTGGGGTACACCTCACTATTGAGAGCTACTAACAATGCACTTGGGTCGAGTTTTTACCTTCCAACCAATGGTGTTAAGTTACTTTTTAAGTCTTCTCGGGCTCTGGTCTTTGATATTTCCCAGAGAATCGCGTTGTGGTCGCTGGCTGTGTAGGTATCCATCACCTTCCAGTTGATATTACCTCTGGTGAGGCTGCTACTGACGAAAGTGAGATCTACAATAGAACTTGCGTCTCCTTTGGTGTAGGTTCATGTATCACCACTGTTGAGTAGTACTACATCTAATGTAGGAAAGGCTTCTAGTAATTCCTTTCCTCGCGCGTTTGTATCCAGGGCACCCTGGATGTGGTCCTTCGTTGTGTCATCATCGACGTCTCGGATCTCAATTACCTCCTGTGGTCCTTTGCAGGTAACTCTTGCGTCTTCTTTCAGAATGTCTGCAATGGTCTTTCTCAATGTTTGGCCTTTGTCATATTGTATATTGTATACATTGTATATTGTAATTCCGAGTATTTAGAAATCAAATACACGACGTGAAAATATTAAATAATAAATTAATTTCAACTTTTATTCATTTTTTAGACATAATCTTGAAGTCACGCTTAACGCATGATATGATTTTTTATTTTCTTAACGCATGATATATTTCGTCCGTTTCTTCACTTCAATTACAGTTTTTAACCTCGAATAACTCAAACAGATATTAATTTTCTATAAAAATTAGAAATGATTTCATGAGAATATCAATTTTTTTTCGTTTTTTCGAATACTTATTTACTTAAGAATTTCTGCACAATCATAGTTCTAAATCTCAAATTACAAATTATTCCCATGTTAATAAGACGACAATTGACATCAACAACTTTAAATGAAGTAAAAAAGGAAAATTAACAAATTCTATCATGCGTTAAGGATGACTTATTTTAAGGATGCAAGATTCTGTGTAAAAAATAAAAAAAAATTGAAATTAATTTATTATTTAATATTTTCACGTCGTGCATTTAATTTCTAAATACTCAAAATTACAATATAATGTATCTTCATAACCTTAACTTGTATAGAAGTTGCAAAAATCAAAAAAAAATTTTTTTCTGAAATTCCAAAATTTTTTTTTGAAATTCAAAAATTCCTATCCAAATATTTCAGGATCTTTTACGATCATTACAAGGTATCATACAAAAAAAATTGAGCCAAAATTTTAATGGCGGTCTTCATTTTTGACGATTTTCAAAAATTCAAAATTAGACAAATTTGGCATTTTTCAAAATTTTTTTCCAAAATATTTTTTTTTCAATACCCCCAAGTGTCCCTTTTTAAACAAACGAAAGATCATTCCTGTATCTATAATAGCATTCGAGATATTGCAAAAAAAAAATTGAAAAACTGGAAAAATCGCGAAATTTTGAATTTGCATCTTTCGAAAAAAATTTTTTTATTTTTTTTCCTTTGGCAGAACTTCGTTTTATGATAAAAGAAAACTTCTGACCAAAATTCATCCAACTCGAAAGGGGTCAATTCCAACTATTGGTCGATTTGACATGGAATGACCATATTTAAAAAAAATATTAATTTATTTGGAAATTATACATTAAGAAAATTTTAGAGTAGCCGACATGTCTTCGGAAGGTTCTAGGTTTGAATCCCAGTCCGAGATATCTAATAATTTTTTCTCGCATATTCTATAAACTCACATTAAGATGATCCTCTCCACAATCCTTTCTCAATCCTTTCCTACCAATTATCCTGTTACGTGAATGTTGGAACGCTTCACGTAATAATTATCCGTAACTCCTATTCTTTCCCGCTTCACAGCATTATTTATATTTGTTAAAAATGTTAGCCGTAAGATGGACGGTGTGGCTTAATGTATATAGAATAAGTGAAAGGAAATTAAGTATAGACCGGATAGCTCAAATGGTAGAGTAACCGACATGTCTTCGGAAGGTTCTGGGTTCAAATCCCAGTCCGAGCTATCTAATAAATTTTTT